CTAAGGTACAGGCAGAGTTGAATAGTACTAAACTAGAAAAAAAGAAAAAAGAAAAAGAAAGAAACTGTTTATTAAGCATAGATGAAGTATGCAACCAAAGACATTTATTGGTTAGTAGGTAAAGAGGGCCTTTTGCCCAGCCAGATTCAAGTTACACATTCAGGAATGATTTGAGTAGTCATACGTGTTTGTGATTATTTAATTTTAATTTTTTAAATTTGCAAGGAAGCAAGCAACCTAAATATTGAGTGTTAGCTTGCACTTAAACCACGTTTGCATATATTAATTTCACCCTCAAAATACCCTTGAGAGGGACCAGGCATGGTGGCTCACACCTGTAATCCTTGCACTTTGAGAGGCTGAGGTGGGCGGATCACTTGAGCTCACGAGTTCAAGACCAGCCTGGCCAACATGGCAAAACCCCGTCTCTACTAAAAGTACAGAAATTAGCCGGGCATGGTAGCGCATGCCTGTAATCCCAGCTTACTAGGGAGGCTGAGGCAGGAGAATTGCTTGAACCCAGGATTGGGGGCAGAGATTGCAGAGAGCTGAGATTGCGCCACTGCACTCCAGCCTGCGCGACAGAGTGAGATTCCATCTCAAAAAAAAAAGAAAACACACACACACACACAACAAAATAAAAAAGACTTGAGAGGTATATATTATTAAATTATTAAAAATAAACTTTAATAGTCTTAGGATTTGGACACATATTTGTCAGACAGCAGAGTCCTCCACACTCTTTATACTATGGCAGAAGGATTTTCTTTGAGACAGTTTGTTTCAGAGAATTTTCATACTTTTCCAGTGTGAAAACAAATCAAAACAAAACAAAAATTAAAAAAGCAGGATTCAATGGCAGAGCACAGGATAAGGCAAACACATCTAAACAAGCACTTAAACCAGACTCTATTCCTGTATTTCCTATGCATTTGGAAAAAACATGTGAAGTTTATCTGGAAAAAAACATGTGAAGTTTATGGTTTAACTCTATACAAGATTATGTAGGAATTGCTATCTTCTTATCCTGAGAAATTAACCAATGGCCCACCTACTGCCTTACTACTAGTGACAGTCACACATTCTTGGGAACAGGGTTGGGCAGGATAGAGCAGGGTGCTTAGTCACAGTGCCTGACACTAAACAAGAATAATGGTCTTAAAGATGTTTTCATCTTCTCCCCAAACTCAAAGGATTATTAGAATTCCATCTCGCAAAGCAGTTTACAGACGGAGTTTTGATGGGACATTTACAGCTAGTATGAAACTTTTGGTTGGGCACGGTGGCTCACACCTGTAATCCCAGCACTTTGGGAGGCTGAGGTGGGTGGATCACGAGGTCAGGAGATCGAGATCATCCTGGCTAACACGGTGAAACCCCATCTCTACTAAAAATACAAAAAATTAGCCGGGCGTGGTGGCGGGTGCCTGTAGTCCCAGCTACTCAGGAGGCTGAGGCAGGAGAATGGCGTGAACCCGGGAGGCGGAGCTTGCAGTGAGCCGAGATTGCGCCACTGCACTCCAGCCTGGGTGACAGAGCCAGACTCCATCTCAAACAAAAAATAAAAATAAAAAAGAAACTTTCAACTTTAACTTAAGCCGTCAAAAGTCCTACATTAATGTACTCATTAAAAGCTATCTTTTAGCCTTGGTCAACACAGCGAGACCTTGTCTCTATTTAAAACAAATAAAATAAAATTAGCTGGGTGTGGTGTTGTACACCTGTGGTACCAGCTACTTTGGGGGCTGAGTTGGGAGGATTGCTTGAGCCTGGGAAGCTGAGGCAGCAGTGAGCCATGATTCCAAACTGAGCAACAGAGAGAGACCCTATCTTAAAAGCTATCTCTAAAAAGTTTAGTTCCTGAGTTGTTTGACTCATTTTAATTTTCAAATTAAAAGAGAGTTTTTCAGGGATTAAAAAAAAAAAAAAAGGAAGTCCAGACCAAAAAATTCTCATCATTCCCATCAGCACTGATTCTTCTATCCTGAGACCCATTATCTATTCTCCTTTTTCAGGCCCCTACCTTGTAAAGTGATACTCAAATGAGTCATACTTGGTTGCATCAGAGGCCAATGAGAACACTTTGAACCACACAGAGTTCTCTCAAAGCATATTCCAAAACAAGTATATGTTGACAGGAGTAACTACTAAATGCACTGGCTTGGAGTATGGTTGTGTGTCTTTTCCATTTCAAATGGTGTTAATTATAATTTAATTATACATAAAAATGTTTTGGGGTTTATTTAAAAATTACACCCTATGTCAAAAGAAGAGGGTGAAGAGGAAAAAGAAAGAAGTCATAGTTTATCCCTTATAGTCCTTCTCTCCAGTACATTTGGGGCTGGGCACTAAGATGAGCTGGAAAAACATACACTCAATTGACATGGGAGAAGCTACAACACTTCTCCATCCAACCCTTAACATATTAAAGACAGAACAAATCAACACCTTTTTTTCTCAATAACGAAGAATACATAAATTTCATTCATTCAAAGATGATCACCTACCATCTTCTACTCCAAAACAAATGATTAGCTAATTCCCACATTAACATACTGTATTTAGGAGGCAGCCCTCAAAAACAACAACAAAAAGATAACTTAAGTTTTATAACGTGGTGACCCCTATCATAGTATTAAAATCTGATTTTTAAATTGACACTGGTTTTAATGGTGTGCGTGTATGTAACTTGTGACATGAAAAACCATTTATATTTTTGGATGCTGGTAATCACCCTTAAAAATATAAGTAGGCTTAACATGCAAGTAAAAATGGTGAGACAAATGTAAATTCAAAGATAAACCTACATAATGGTAAAGCAAGCTATAATTCTCTAATTGTAAAAGTGAAAAACACTATGAAATCAGACCTTTTCTTAACAACTAACCTCAAATATTTTTCTATTTTTAGTTCTAATTTCCATCCTATCCTCTCCCCACACATACTCCCACAAAGCCTCTAGAACATCAAGTAGAACACAATGTTATGAACAAAGTATAATAAACAAGATTGGACATCAATGAGCCTCTGTATAAATTTACTAAATCAATGTATGTATGAATTTACTAAAAAATGCTCCTAGTGATATTAAAACGAGAAATAATTTGTATCTTGGCACCATTACAAGCAGCCAATGAGCATGAAGCAAGTTTTCACCTGGACGCTGCCAACACAGTCATCAAGACTTTGGGAAAATACCAAAGCTTGTTTCATAATACATCCACTTTTACTTTTTTTCCCCCATCCTTTAGTAAACTTTCTAGATATAAATTTTAAAATGTTAAAATTTATAATTAGTTACCAGCGCCCTTCATCCCACAGATCAGGTGTCCTACATTTTGTTCAGGTCCTGCCTTGAAAACAAACCCGATTGCCCCATTTTCTGAGAGGGAGCTCAGCTCCAGGCAGCTCCCTATGAAGTCACCGCGTTTGTTGTTTCAAAGATGCAATTAAATGAAAATGACACAAGGCTGTCGAATAGATTAGTTGGAAGTGTGCGGTGGTGTCGATCATATACGTGTATGGCCAATGAAAACTGTATTGCTGTAAATCTCTTAGTGATATTTCTCCCCATCTTCCTCTCTCCATTATATTCACAACACAAGGAAATTAAACTTTTTAAGAATTTTCTTGACTTTGGTTTAACTTTAGCTTCCCAGCTGTCTGCTCTTACAGTATCACGTAATGAGCAAAGCGGCGGGGCTAGGGGGCCGGAGGGTAGAGTGTTAATTTTAGCGAGCAGAAGAAAAGCAATAAAAGAGCTTGCATCAGACAGTGTCTCTCTCTCTCTCTCTCTCTGCCCCCTCTCTTCCTCCGCTTCCCCGCCATCCCACCCCCTTCTCGAGCTCTTACACATACACATTCTTCTGGGCGGCCTCTAACTACACCATCTCCACAATCATTTCCAGAAATTAGAAACAGACTCCGGGAGCCCTTCCCTTAAGCACGCACAGAGCGGAGCTGTGCAAGCACGACGGGGCAATGTCACTCCCTGTTACCCCACAATCTCGTACTGCCCCTGTGGGTTTCGTTCCCGAGATCCGGCTTTCTTCCGCTGAGGAGATGGATCTACCTACTCCGCAATGGAGTTTTATCTCATTCTTCCCCACTCCAGTCACCCCACCCCCACTCTAACGTACAAAAACACCCCACCACCACAACCAAAGAAAAGTTCCTTCTACCAGGGCAACAGAGGAGTCGGGTTTAGGGACTGGAGCAAAAGCAGAGACAGGAGGAAGAGAGCTAGCGCAATGTACTTTGTTTTGCACTTCTGCACATGCAGCGCAGAGCCCAGGGCGGCTCTCTTCCTTACCGGCTGGTCCCGAGACCAGGTCCTGCTACTGGAGCGCCGGGCTAGGGCTGCGGGGACGCGGCGTCGGGGCGGGCAGCCGGCAGCCGCCGCGGGCGCCGAGAGCCACCACCTCTTCTCCCACAAGCGGCTGCGGGCGTGGGCTGAAGGAGCTGGAGAAGGAGCCTGGGGAGGGGGAGAAGAGGAGCAGCATCTCCTCCTCCTCCTCCTTGCCTCGGAAACGCCCCTCCAGCGGCGATCCCAGCCGACTGCCGGACCCCCGAGCGCTCAACGCACCCCCCCCCCCCGCCCTACTGTGCTCGACGCCCCTCCAAGAGCTTCGCCAGAACCTTCAGGCGCGGGCAGCTCAACTCCTGTAGGCGACTCTGACCGCTGCCGAGGCGGACCGGGGAGCTACGGAGCGCGGCTCGCCAGCACGACGGTCTCTAGGGACCGTGAGCATGGTGTGTCACCCTCGCCTCAGCTCGGCCGCCGGAGCTACTGGCAATACTCGGGCTCCACCTCGGGCAGCCGCGCCGGCTCCGCCCCCCCGGTCCTGTCACTCAACCATTCCCCGGCTCTGGGAGGACCGCAGATGTCCGACCCCGAACTCCCCTCGACCTCATTGGCTCGCCTGGCCTCCAGCTCCGCCTCCTCCCTAGGGACGAGGTCGCCGGGGAGACCAGCGCCCCGGTTGCCATGACAACCGGTGCCTTGGGCCTGGCTTTTCGCGTTCTTCGGACTAGCCGGAGGCTCAGGTTGGTGACCAAGCGGCAAAGTTCCTAGCGCCTGTAGTGTGAACTCCAACTTTTAGGCCAAGTTGAAAATGCAGCCGACGGCCCCCACACTTCTAACTTCAGAAACAGAACTTCATGACCCTAGGGAGTGAGGAGGAGAGTGAAAAATGCATAAGTGCTGGCTCCTCCCTTACCCTTCGCTGCCTCGCAGCCTTGTTTCTATATTCTCACCGGGAGCTTTGGACTTTGAAAGGATGAGGAGAATGGGGGAGAGGAAGAGCGTGGCTTTGCCAGCTCCCTGCAGCAATACAGCAACTTAGAAATGGCGGGGTCAACGAAAAAAACCCGGTGAGTTTTCCCACGGTTGTAAAGCGATCTTCAAAGGTGTAGTGACAGCACAACGCCAAATGCCCTAGGGAAAACTCCAATTCTCATATTTTTGAAAAAAGTTTGTAAATACTTGCCTTGTTATTTTCTCTGTGAGACTAAAATAATCCCGAAGTTTGAAAATTTAAGGAAAAGGTTTAACATAGTCGATAACTTCCAGCTTTTTTGTATACACTAAAACTTGGCCAAGGTATATCCAGACAGCTATACCCCTCCTTGCTACAAGCCGAAATATTTGAGTTTCAATAGTTAAACAAGAGAGTCTTGCTGAATTCATGAACAAATAATATCCTGTGATTTGAGTTTTGAAAGTTTTGGTTTATTCTCAGAGGTATAAGGTAAACTGGTCCAGTCTGGAAAGGGTACTTGAAGATAAATTTAGTCTGAGACCGTTAATGTTGAGCCCTAGGTAAATCTGAATTTCATGCCTGGCTCCAAAGTGGAGGGATCTGAGGCTTATTTTGCTTCCCCAAGAAAGTCAAAGCAGCAATCCTACGTTCCCTAGCCCCTGAGGCTGCCATACATGTATGATAAATGAGGGAATTAATAGTAATGATTTATCTTTGGCGAGCACTTGCGTTTTCATTATATCATTTACTAAATGAATAACTATGATAGATATCTTCAGTCAAATATTCCTCACAAGTATGCATTGAATGTGATTACTCACAGGGCTAAACACAACGGAAAATGCACAGCAGAATTTTAAGATTAAGTCCCTGCTCCCAAGGAGCTAACCTGGGGCCTAAGAAAGAAAACTAGCACTCTTGAAACAATTTGAGAATAATAATAGCTAAAATGTGCAGCCAAACTTTGAGTAGGTAGCAGGTAAGAGAAAGTCTGCTATGTAAAATGGGCTAGATTCCTCAGTTTATGGAAGAGGGGAATTTACCCTGGGCTTTGATGAATGCAGCAAAGATGAGGAAAGTCAGTTGAGGGAAACAACAAAAACTAAGGAGCAGCAGCAGGGATGAGTGGTGAAAGTAAATAACAGGCCAGGCTCCCTGGACTGCAGACACAAGTGAATGAATTCTTCCCCCATTTTTAAATGTTCTGGTTCATCTCTTAGGGAGGTGGGAAAGGCAGGTTGGGAAGAACAGAAACTTTCATGAAACATCTGCCTCTGTTTGCCTCTGAAAGAAAGCTCATGTATTTATTGGAAAGAAAAGCAATATCCTTAATTAATGGCTGCAATAGATTGTGAATTCACATCAGAAAGAAGGTATAGCAAGTATAGTGTTGTAAATTTCCACAAAGTAGACAAACCACAGTGTTGTTAGCTTTTTTCCTTTTCTTTCTCTTCTTATTTATTTATTTATTTGCATTAAGGCCATTTCAGGTGGTTGCCCTCAAGGCATTTTCACCAGTAATCCCTCTGTTTTGGATGAGCTGAAAGACTGGTTTTAAAATACAATCTGATAAAAAGTACACACAAGGGAAATCTACAGGTTAAATTCCTTTTGGATATAATGTAAGTCACTACTAACAAATGGAACCCAACACTACATTACAAATGATATACCAAAATTAAGAGAAATTATTTCATGTATATAGTATGGCAATAGTCCAAGAATAGAAAGTTTTCTCATATGCTTGATTATATTAATAAGTCAAAGGAGGAAAACATTATGAGGATCTCAGTTGATGCTGAAAAGGATTTTGTAAAGTCCAGCATCATTCCCAATAAAAATTAGAATTTGGAATAATTTAAATATATATGTGGTATACTAAAGCCAGCAACTTCCTTTATAACATAACATTGTAATTATTCCTATTGAAGTCAAGTACAGGCAAGAATGTTCACTATCACATTGTAACAATAGAAATGATAGCCAATGCAATTAGATATAAAATAGAAATAAGAAATTAAGTACTGTAAATAAGTCAGGATTGTCATTTGTTTGCAAATAATATGAAAACTCCAAAGCATCAACTGAAAAACTCTTAGAGGCAACAAAAGATGAATTAAGATAACTAGTTATAAAATTAGCATACAGGGAGTGGGGCACAGTGGCTTATGCCTGTAATTCCAACACTCTAGGAGGCTGAAGTGGACAGATCACTTGAGCCCAGGAGTTCAATACCAGTCTGGGCAACATGGTGAAACCCTTTCTCTATAAACAATTAAAAAATTAGCCAAGCATGGTGGGATGCACCTGTAGTCCCAGGTACTCTGGAGGCTGAGGTGGGAACATTGCTTGAGGCCAAGATGTTGGGGCTGAAGTGAGCCATGATCACACCACTGCACTATAGCCTGGGCAACAGAGTGAGATCCTGCCTCAAAAATAACAATAACAATAATAATAATATAATGAAAACATACGAAAAGAACTTTCTCATGTATTATCATAACCAATTTGAAAATACAATATAAAAAGAATCCATCCCACTTACAGTAGCCGCAAAAATTTAAGTAGCTAAAAATAAACACTAAAATAAATTTATAAAACTGGCTGGGCATGGTGGCTCATACCTGTAATCCTAGCACTTTAGAAGGCTGAGACAGGAGGGTTGTTTGAGCCCAGGAATTCAAGACCAGCCTGGGCAACATAGTAAGACCCTATATTTATTTAAAATAAATAAATAAAGTAAAATATAAACAAAAGTTATAAGACGTACTTTAAAAATGATATAATTTGTAGTGGACTATGATTGTGCCTATGAATAGCCACTGCATGCTAGCCTGGGCAACACAGCAAGATCCCATCTCTAAAAAAAATTTTAGAATCATGACAGACTTACGACAAATAACAATGTTTGAAATAAAAAAGAAATATACTTTTAAATACCGAGGTTGAAACAATGTATAATTATCTTTTAAAAGTAAGTTATATATCAGGTATAATTCTTTTGGTTTTTCTGTTGTTGGTTTTTTTTTGAGACAGGGTCTTGCTCTATTACCCAGGCTGGAGTGAAGTAGTGCAGTCACAGCTCACTGCAGCCTCGACCTCCTATGCTCAAGCTATCCTCCTGCCTCAGCCTCCTAAGTAGCTGGGACTACAGGTGCACACCACCATGCCCAGCTAATTTTTTAAAAAGTTTTGTAGAGAGGGGTCTTGCTATGTTGCCCAGATTAGTCTCAAACTCCTGGGCTCAAGCAATCCTCCCTCCTTGGCCTCCCAAACTGCTGGGATTACAGGTGTGAACCACCACACCCGGCCTATCCAGTATAATTCTAATCAAATGTCCAACAGAATACTTTTAGGAATTTGATAAAATAATTTAAATATTCATTTGGAAGAGTACCATTCAAAAATAAGAAGAGTCTTGAAAAGAAAATAAATGAGTGGGAGTTACATAAAAACTATTAAAATAAATTATAAATTAGAATGATTAGCAGCAGACTCAAGCAGTCAACTAGGTACAGGTAAAGGGCAGGATGATGTGTATCATTCAGGTTACAGTGTTGAGAAACCTAGTTATTTCTTGTGTATCTTTTCAGACACACACACCTAAATATCCTTTTCCAAAGGATATTACTCATCTAATATATTGATTTTTTAAACTTCATAATATCTATTTGTTTGACTTTAGCTTCCCAGCTGTTATTTCTATTATCAGATGCTTTAGATGAGCCTAGTTCTTTTGAAAGGCTGTGTAGTATTCTGTTGCTTAGATGTAACATGATTTACCTCGTCACTTTTCAACGAGTATATACGTTATTTCCAAGCCTTTGCTATTCCTTTTTTTTTTTTTTTTTTTTTTGAGATAGAGTCCTGCTCTGTCGCCCAGGCTGGAGTGCAGTGGCCTGATCTCGGCTCACTGTAAGCTCCGCCTCCCGGGTTCACACCATTCTTCTGCCTCAGCCTCCCCAGTAGCTGGGACTACAGGCGCCTGCCACCACGCCCAGCTGATTTTTTGTATTTTTAGTGGAGACGAGGTTTCAAGTTGAAATATGTCTCTTTGTATCCGATTCTGGCTTACATGTAGTGTACATCTGTAAGTTTAGCTTCTAGAAGTAAAATTGCTGGGTTAAAGAACATTTTACTTTTTTTTTTTTTTTTTTTTTTTGAGATGGAGTTTTGCTCTTGTCGCCCAGGCTGGAGTGCAGTGACGCAATCTCCGCCCACTGCAACCTCGCCTCCCGGGTTCAAGCGATTCTCCTGTCTCAGTCTCCCATGTAGCTGGGATTACAGGCGCGGGCCACCACGCCCGGCTAATTTTTGTATTTTTAGTAGAGATGAGGTTTTACTGTGCTGGCCAGGCTGGTCTCCAACTCCTGACCTTAGGTGATCCACCCGCCTCGGCCTCCCAAAGTGCTGGTAATATTACAGGCGTGGGCCATCGTGCCCACCCACGTTTTACATTTTGATAGACAAAACCAGGCTGCCTTCCAGATAAGTGATACAAGTTCCAGTCATCCTAACAAAGATGGAAAGTTTGGTAGCACACCATGTTTCCCCACATCTTCACCAATACAGCATTATCAAACTGTTTTTATCTTTCCCAGTCTAATAGATATAAATTGATATCTCATTACAGGTATAATTTTCGATTCTATTTGAGGATTTTTTCTATGCTTACAAGCCATTTTTGTTGTTGTTGTTGTTACCAAAAATATTCTCCCATATTTTCTTTTAAAAGTTTTATGGCTGTTTTTCACATTATATTTTTTCATCCATATGGAATTTATTTTGGTGATAGCAGCAGCGACCCAGTTGTCCCCACATCTTTACCTAATAATTCAGCTTTACCCCCACAGAAACGAAATCCTCTCTGTATCATATACAAATTCCTGTATGTTCTAGGGTCTACTTCTAAGCTCTTTTCTGTTTAATAACATTTAGATTTCCATATAAAAATCTGAGTCATAACATACTAGAAGGAGGTATGAGTGAATTCATTTAGAGCATTTGAGTCTTGTTTCCACACGTGATAAAAACCAAAAACTTAAAAGAATTTGTACATTTTACTACATAAAATATAATAAAAAGTTTCTGTAAGTAATAGAAAGATCATGTTACTTTGTTCCATTTGGAAATACAATTTCAATGTCTTTCACAATTTATGTTTATATCCTGTAATTTATTCTACTTCAGAAATGTATCCTATATATATTTATATACATGACCAGATATATGATCAAGGATATTCATTGCCTTATTGTTGATAGTTATAAAATAAAAAACAAAATAAATGTCCATACTAACAGAATGATTAAACTCTGGTAAACCAATATATATGATCTAGCAACGGAATCAAGTTGCCATATAGTATGATCTGATTTCTGTTTAAAAATACCTATATCTATAAATACACATGGAGATATTTTTCTATTAACAATGTTTGAGGATTATAATTACAGAAAACATTGCACTTCTGAAATTAAAAAAAAATCTTTACAGCAAGCATATGTTACTTTTGTTATAAAAGATCCACATCAATTATTGCTACTCCTACTAAGGAAATTAGAAAACTTGCCATAACAAATATTGGGCTTTTAATGGCATATGGGGCCTCAGGTTGTTCATCACTTAGGGACTGTACTCATGACACACTCTAAATCAAGAATATTTTATGTTGGACCCATGAACAACCACATAATGGACCCCCCAGACTATTCCAGGTATGTGTGATGATGCTTTTTTCTAGGGAAAATGTCCATACTTTTTTTTCTCCTTTTAAAAGATGGATCTTGTTCTGTTGCTCAGGCTGGAGTGCAATGGCTGTTCACAGGCACAGTCATACTGTGTGGTGGCTTCGAACTCCTGGGCTGAAATGAATCTACAGCCTCAGCCTACCAAGTAACTGGGAGTAGAGGCATGCATCACCACACCCAGCTTCATCCATAATTTTTTGACAAATTCACAAAGGGGTCTATATCTCTCCAAAGTGTTAAGAGTGTGTGTTTTAAATGCCAGTGATTTTTAAATGCCACCTTTTACCTCAAAGGCTGAAATGAATTCTGGGCTAATCTAAATCTGTAAATAGCAGTGTTTTCCCAGCTGGCTTCTTGTGTTCATCTCAATGTGCAATATTTGTATTCTGACTTGCCAACTATGTTAGTGTTTTTCCCTACTTTAAGCCCAGAAGCATATTATCCTTTCTTGCTTACAGAGTAAGAGCTGTGATGGGAACGTTGCCCAGGTGAGAAGCAGAAGCACGATAAGTAATCCACCAAAACATGAGCAGGTAATTGAAGCACAGACTCTGACAGTGCTTAAGGAAGACTTTGTGAGGCAATGCTAACACTTCCAAGTGAACCAAGAATTAGCTAGGGGAAAAAAATGCAGTGATAGAAACCAGATAGGACTACAATTACCTTCAGGTCCATTGAATACACAAGTTATTTTCTTTTGGTAGTAGCTGAACCCTCTTTAAAATTTGAGAATTCCCCTAGGATGCAGAGTCACATGACTGAAATGACATAGATAACTAAACACTGGGACAAAGTACATTGAAAAGAACACAGCGTTTGCACTCAGAAAACCTAAGTACAAATCTTGGAAAGTCACTTAATTTTTTTTTTTTTTTTTGAGACAGAGTCTCGCTCTGTTGCCCAGTATCTTCCTCATTTACAAAGTGAAGGAAATAAGAGTAGCGAATATGTTCCACACGATAGCCTGTACTGTTTTTTCAATATTCAGCAGGAGCAAATACAATATATGCATGAAAACTGTAAGCTTTAGTTCACTATTTTTTTTAAAGCCAAACAACAAAAAGCTTTACAGGTTTTGGGAATTACTATTTTAGGCTTGAGATAATTTTTGGACATAATTTTTTCATTCTGAAGAGTAACTTTGGAAAATATTTACAGGCACCAGGACTCGCTAGATCTATGAAATACTAAGACAGAAAAATTTAATTGTGGTGCTCCTGTAACTTCCACTTTTCTTTGCAAATGAACTTCTTTTGTATATTTAGCCCATTTCCAGTTTTCCCCTACTGGCCCCAAACTGACCAGGGCTACTTAGTTATGCTTAGTAGAGCTGGCTACACCATAAAAGCAACCATCTATTCTTATTGGATTTTCCAGGTGCTTCAAGGCTCTACCTGAACCAAAACATTTCCCTCACCTAAATTTATTGGCTAGAAATTCTCACTTTTAGTCATTAATGAGTTAAACTGCAAAGGTGTTATCTTTAGAAAGTCATAGTTAAAATTCATTTTATTTTCTAGCTTTCTCTCTTCACACCTTAATGTGGATTAGTTTATCAGATTAGTTAGTTGTCATTTTAAACCCTGAGGGAGAGAGATACCGGAGCTGCACATTCTAATTAATGAAGGGGAAGTGGGAAAGAGGGGAAGACAGTTTCGATGATGAGTGGAAGAGAGAGAGAGGAATTTAGTGGGGGAGAGGTATGTGGTATGAGGGTGGCCCTCGGGGCTAATGATACCAAGGGAGGGGATGAAGGAAGTATATGTAGTACTAAAGGGGTGTGGCACTGAAGTCAAACTGCCTAATTCACAATTTTTACTAGGGTTGGTCCTGTCTCTGACTCATTTCTACTACTTGTCCTGGCAAGTTATGTAACTGCCTATTCAGTTTGGTTGAAGGGAATATGGCAAATAAGCATAACCCTTCTGTTTTTTTGAAACTTAGCCATGTTAGAACATATACTAAGTAATTTAATGTGAATATGCTCTAATCCTGACCCATAGGGACTTGCCTTAGGGTTCATGGCTGCTAATCTTGATTTGTAAAAGTATTCCCAGAAATGAAGACCAAGACAGAAGTTAAGCTTTCTAGTTTATCTTCTGGCTTAAAGAGTGTGATTTCATATTGTCTGATGGGAGTGAGCTGCTGTGCAAGAGAATTGATCATTAAGGGCTTTGTTAGGTGGAATTAGAGCATTTAATTTAAACAGGTATCACTTGAAAATAATTTTTTTTAAGTTGATTGTCTTGCTTTTTACATCTCCCCCTATAATAGACCAGTAGAAAACTTAGGAGGAAAATGGTCATATCTACAGAGACTAGTTGTTAGTTTAGGGCCAAACCCAGACTTACGATATTCATATTAAAAGGGGAACTTGCCACATTCAACAACATGAAGAGGGGAAATTTGTCTTAGAGTGCTGAATCTGTTAGGATAAGTAGTTCTTCAGCTGTTCTAAAAAGTTAAAGAACTATAAAATATTATACACATATGATGTAAGCATTGTATTTTCACTAACAACCTACCATTATGCATTCATTGGCCAATCTTTTGATGCTAGGCCAAGGCCTCTTGACCATGGATCTACTGTTGGGAGTTCTAGATTGTCTTATTTACATAAACACTTTCCATAAGGCAAAACCTACGGTTTTTTGTTTTAGTTTTTGTTAAAGGGAACATATAACTTGAGGACACTTGTGAAACAATATGAGTTTAGAATGCTTCCATTAAATTTATTTTTGCAATTTATTCTGGTTTTCTTGCCCATAGTAATTTATTGCAATGATTAGTCTTTCCATAGCATTCGATTTCATTTTTACAAAATGAAGAGATATTAATACTGCATACAAAGTCTTGGAGTGTGGAGAGGGAAAAAAAAAAAAGACTTTTTTACCCTTCTAATGATATGGTTATTACAGTATACCATTAATATGAACTTGAAGAAGTATAAACTCTACTGCCTTTAATCAAAGAATATACTCCAATTACTCAGCTTTCAATAAGCATTATCTTGCTTTCTTGTTTGAATAATCTTCCTTTCTCTGGTCCAGTTCTCTTAATGGGAAAGTCTTCTTAATAGCAGCTTGAATTGGATTAAAAGTTGGATAAAAGTGTTAGGTAAAAGTCCTGGGTTGGATATTGTTGAGCTACTGTCTTGGACTTTTAATCCAAGACTTTTATTGGATAAAAGTCTTCTCATTAGCAGCTTCAAGCTTCTCTTCACCAATAGCAACTTGAATTGGGTGAAGAGTTAAAGTATCTGTAAACCAAACATCACCTTCTTCATAACCCCATCAGTTTGTCTACAAACTAGATTCCAGTTATATTAATAATGCAAATTTAGGCCAAGCAAGGTGGATCACACTTGTAAACCCAGCACTTTGGGAGGCTAAGTAGGAGGATCACTTGAGCCTAGGAGTTTGAGATCAGCCTGGGCAACAGTCTGTAGACCCCATCTCTACAAAAAAATTTAAAAATTAGTTAAGTGTAGTGGGGTGCACCTATAGTCCCAGCAACTTGGGAGGCTGAGATGGGAGGATTGCTTCAGCCTGAAAGGTAGAGGCTGCTGTGATCTGTGATGATGCCACTGCACTCCAGCCTGGGTGACAGAGTGAGACCCTCTCATAAGAACTCCAGACTCCCAAAAATTTCTTACCACTTCCAACATTTCCAAGATTTTTCAAGAGATATTCATATGTGCTCTGTAAACTTTATCTTTGTTTTTCCACTTAGACCTCCTAAAAGTTTAATACCTGAAAGTCACTTACTGTAGGTTTTTTTAGATGACAGATGATTATTTCAGTCTTGCTCTAGCTATAGATTAAGCCAAGTAAAATGGAATAGCTTTAAGGAAAAGGAGGCCTGTTTGGGGAGAGCAAAGAGCCAAGGTACTTATTTGATATGATCATGAATAAAGATAAGGTTCATTTAATTTTGGTAAAACCAAGGTTCTAAGTTTATATTTGCAAAATATGTGTGCAAAAACCCTTGCTTGATTTTGTCTGTTTCAAACTACTATAGTAATCACTTTCTAAATGGCATGTATTTATATTAGTAATATGGCATCTAGTCCTTGAAAATTATGCTAATTTTATACTGTACTTATAACAAAGTAAACAAAAATGTATTAGCAAATTTGCCTTGTACTTATAAATTTCTTCTTCCCAAAAGGGATTTTTAATTTTGAAAGACCTAGAGATTACATTTGGCTTACTTTTTCTATGTTTTCCTAAATGCGTTTTATATTTGCTATTACTTTCATATTTACAGATGACACTAAATGATTTCTTGTACTTTTGAAGACAAAGAAAAAAGCCTATAGATTCAGTATGAAGCTCTTGAGAATTCCTATACCTGATAAATAATATTTTAACAAAAAATAAGTTCCTATTTGGACATCAATTGTGCAAACCACTTAATTACGTGCCTCTGCAGTATTAGAATATATATATATATATATGACTTACAGTGTTTTCTAATTTCCAGAAACTTATCAGTGCCAGCAAATAACACATAAGAACATACAGCTCCGTTGGTGTGTCCAATTAATAATGTTATTAAAAATTGATAGTCTAGGCCGGGCGCGGTGGCTCACACCTGTAATCCCAGCACTTTAGGAGGCCGAGGCCGGTGGATCATGAGGTCAGGAGATCAAGACCATCCTGGCTAACACCTGGTGAAACTCCGTCTCTACTAAGAATACACAAAAATTAGCCGGGCGCGCTTGCAGGCACCTGTAGTCCCAGCTACTCAGGAGGTTGAGGCAGGAGAATGGCGTGAACCCAGGAGGCGGAGCTTGCAATGGGCCGAGATTGCGCCACTGCACTCCAGCCTGGGTGACAGAGCGAGACTCCGTCTCAAAAAAAAAAAAAAAAAAAAAAAAAAAATGATAGTCTATTCAAAGATACATAGAAGTTGTATAAAGAATTTAGAGTTCTTATACTTCATCTTCACCAAAATAACACACACACACACACACACACAAAATAACTGAAAAAATAAAAAAGATAGCTCAGTTATACAAAACAACCAGAATAAACATAACAAAATTCTGCTGGGGAAATGTGGCATGATTGAAATATCATTGATTGCATTTTGACAACATGCTTACCATTTTTCTTTGTTATTTTTGTGCTTGTGAACATACATAATTTTGAAAACTCTCAACTTAATTTTCTTTATTACAGCACTAATATAATCTGTATTTGACATTTTTATTGTATTTCTAGTAACACATTACTAATTTCAACCTTTGGAAGGTTGGATTGCTTTGCCTATGGTAGTTATTCGATAGATATTGAATTTCCTTTTATTATATGTGTTGAAATTATTTCTCTTCCTGTTTTAGGGAGTAGAGCTGATCTTTCCACTTTTTTCTGTAGTTTTTCTTTTTTTTATTTCAGACAAGGGTATGTCCATATGCCATAAGAAATTCAAATAGACATGGTACAATACCCTCTGATTGTCTCCTAGTACAATTCTAGCAGTTCTGGGAATAAGTTGAATCTATAAAATGCAAAGTAATTTTTCACTT